GAATGTACATCAGTAAACCTTAGAGCTAAGTATACCTCTGTACATTTGTGTATTTTAGGATAATTTTTAATATTCATCTTATTGGGTAGACATAAAATGTCACACAGTCAAATATTTGACTGTATATGCAGCATATATGTATGTATTTGTATAGCGTGGTCTATCTGCTTCAGTACACACAGACACACAGAGGTTTTATTTCTGTGAGCACCCTTCTGTGAAACAAGAGAGCTAAGTGAAGGCAGAGCATGGATTATTCAGTTGGAAAATCCTAATTGTCAGTTGGCTGCTTTAATTCCAGCATTGAAGGAAGGGTTAGCAGGCAGGTTCACATTTGTCCAGGTGCCATCCCCCCTTCTGACTGCAAGAACAGAGGTAGCAAATGGCTCGAGTTTTCCAGATCAGAAAGCGTTAAGAAAACAAAGAAATGCTTAACTTTTCCAGCATATAAATTAAGGTTTATATGTGTAGTCTACTTTGGATTAATAGTTAATCCTTTATGGAATTCATAAAACTGTATTGTCCAATAAATACATGATCCTCAGATAACAATTTGGGCTACCATAGTTTGGGCACTGTTTCCCCCATCTTCAGCTGTCAACTTCACTCTGATCATCCTTGAATTGTATTTAAAAAAATCTAAACATTATAAAGCATTAGTCATACTGTTGAATTCATAACTATTCCTAATTTTATGTCAAGTTCATTGATGTATACACACAGACACGTGCATGCATCCGCACACATACCTGGCTTTAATTCTAAGACCTCAGACCTCTCACCAAGTTTCTGTTTGCTCATAAATTACATTTCTTCATTTACACTCCAGTAACTGCATGCTTCACTGATTGCAAATGCAGAGTAGTTCAATTGGGTTTTGATCTGTTTCACTGAACTTCTCCTTTCTTTAGCACATATCAATGTGTTGAAAGCATTATCCTAAGTGTCAGTGCTAAGTGTTTCTCAAATGTATTGATCACACATCTGAGCCCTAGTAACTGGTGATTTGTTTCCAAGATGATGCATTGGCTGAAGATTTTATAGGTTGATGTATTGCCTAAATTGTCAGTATTTCTTTGTGTTGGTCCTGTGCTTTCTTTTGTCTCACTATGGCTGCACCTAAGCACTAAGGCAGGTCTGTCTTGTTGCCCACCCCACATCTCTGGTTCTCCCATCCAGATTATAAAGTGTTGAGATGAAGAACATTGCCATATCTTCTCCATCTACATGCTGAATTTCCTTCTACAGTGGCATAATGCAGGAGGCAATGATGATCTTTTCCAGTGTACAGTGAGGTGTTGGAAGGGCAGTCCACCATCAGGGTCAGATGTGAATTGTGACTGTAACCTGCAGTGTAATGGAACATGTTGTGTGGGCATTGCTTGTTCACCTTCCAACATTTCTGAACTCTCTAACAGGAGAACAATGATTGTGCATTTATTAAGATGGGAAAAGTACTCAAACAGCAAAAGTGACAGCTATCATAGAAAATTAAGTTATAGAAGAACATATAGTTATCTCCAACGGAAATATTGGGTCAAGCAATGTTTTGGAGTTTCACAAAATAGTTCATTTTTATGGTCTGAGAAACAGAATTGCCAGGTTGAAGAGAGATGTTTCAACTCAGAAAGTCAAAGAAAAGTATGAAATGCTGGGAACAGAATGACATAACCTTGCTTGTGAGCTGATGGTTTTGCTGTAAATAACTTTTGTATCGAATACAGTTTTTCTCTTCATTTGGATGGATGTTCTTAGAGAATCATCACAGCTATAAATAACTCGTGCCCTTAGCAGGACCATGTTGTTTCCCTGGAAATTTGAGAGAAACCATTTGAGAGGTGTGCAATGACTTTTGAAGCTTGTTAGTGCTTTTGACTATTTTGTGATAAATACGTACTTTATTTCCCAGCTGGCTTTGGAGAGCTGTCCAGATGGCTGTGTCTATAAGGGCTATGGCACATATTGAAGATAGAAAAAAAGGAAGGGTCATTTTTTATCATTGTCCCCTTGTGATTTTCTATCATAACCAGGAGTGCAGCTAACATAATTTCCTTGGGTTGATTCTTCTCTGTGACTTATTTTCTTTCGATAATGCCTTTGCACTGTAACAGAGTATGACAATTTAATAGAGTTAGATAAGAACTAAAACTGGGATATAGTCTCCTGTGTGAAGCCAAGTTTCTCTCGGTTGCCCCAGTATCTAGAAAATAAAGTTCTACATCCTGCTAAATATTGCTGTTATTAGGTATCTGTGGCATGGGGTGCTGAATACAGGAGGGCACAGCAAGGTTTTCATAAAACCCAGGAAATTAATTTCTTTGAGACTGGACTGGTAAAGCTGTGAGTAGTCTTCAACATAACTGGCACATTTATTTTTTTCAGTTTTGGTGATTATCTTCAGAATTTCTTGAAATACAGTTTTGTAATCTGAAAGGACCATACCAATTCGTGACCATAATTAAATATTAGTATCAAGTAATTGAGACCTGATTTGATGCGTAGTCTTATTTTAAACAGTTGTGTTGTACAGCATCATCTGTCCATGTCTTCAGGAATGTACATGAAAGTGAGCAGCCAGAGTACTGCAATGAGGCCACCGTGAGTGTTGGATGGGACAGTTCCTCAGAGAACAGAAATGGAAACTAGAGGCCTCGTGACTGTAAACACATATGACCAATTATTTCTATACATTATTATATCAACCTGATGAAACTGCCCATAATGGTCAATCATATGTAGAGCTGTATTTAAAGCAAAAACCGTCAATTGTTCTGGTTCACAGTCACCATACTTCATGATCAGGTCTGCAGGACTGATGGAGATGGTCAGTTACCTGCCCTTTAGGATTGGCTGTTAAGTCTGAGTGCTAAATCTGTTAAGATCTGCTACATTTTAAATATAGGCAGGTCTGTTGTAGAACCTTGCTATATGTTCATGCGCCTCTTTTAGAAGGAAATTCAGGTCTGAAGGCACACTGACCATTATTGCAGTCAAAAAGGTTCTACATTAAAAAAGAGGAAAACAGAAAAAACTCTTAGTGGTAACAGTACTTTTGTGGAGAGGTGCAGCAGTAGTAGTAGTTTTAGTTTTACCAATGAAAGACAATTACTATTTGTTCTGGTGTTCAATTTCAGATGTTAGCTCTTGGTCTTCGAAAGGAATGTGAATTCATGTACGTGAAGAAGATGATGTGGACAGAGACCTATAACTCACAGCTAAACATTTCTCGTTTAAGGAGAAAGTATGTAGAGTTTACAATGGCACATTAGGAAGGAAGGAAGATTTTATTAAAAATCATCATATTCCTTCCTGTGATTAGATTGTGCTTGATAAATATCCATAGTGACCATGCATGTGATGAACAGGGATATTTCAAATTTGAACTTTTTACTCTATCAATTTATTGGAGCTGAACTTCTTTCGTAATTCATAATTTCTTGTCTGTATCTCTGCGTTCTTTCTAGACATGGAGGGATCTTGTGTGAATGACACCAATTTATCATCCATGCTGTCATGTCTGTTTAAAATCCTTCACTGAATAGATGTCTCCCATATGGTGAAACTGTTTTGAATACTTGCTATTGCTTGATGCAAGCAGTACAGGTTGTTTTGTTTTTTCAGCTTTTTGCCAGCACCAAGTTCTTCCACATAATTGTAATGATGCAGTCCAATTTCTGTGACCTCCCCTTGGGTGCCACTTCGGTGGTCTAATAGATCTTTTAACAAGTGTGAAACATTGGAAGCAGAGGGCATTTCCCTTGGTTCATTTCATCCCATTACTTCAAGTAATATTTCTCCCCTTCTTACCAAAATAAAATAAAATAGGTAAAGTGATTCCTCCAAGGAGAATGTGACAGCATATGAGGAGCTGGAGCTGTAGAAGCCTTCTGGGACTAGAAGTGTTGTGTAGATGTAAGGTGCTGCTAATGGGTTTTTTTAAGAATTTAGGGTCATTGTGGATTTGTGTTTAGATGCTTGGCTAATCTGATTAGAGAAGTAAGTAGAATAGCTAATCCAGGAAGAATTTATTATTTTGTTTTCCTTGGTAATCTTAGAGATGACGAATTTGTGAAAGCAACTTGCTCTACTGGCATTGTCTCCAAAATCAGCTTTATCTCTAGGAAAAGTTGGGCTCTTTGCTCGTTGGAATCTATCATAAAACAAGCACATGATGCATTTTCCTGTCCAAAGAAATGTTTTGTGTGAGGGAAAACTCAAATCTGCCCTTTAAATCTCTAGTAAGAACAAAATAAAACACTAAACTATGTTCATAGAAGATATGCATCACTTTTCTTGAAGGAACTTTGGAAGCGTTTCATTTTCTTTCCTTGGTATAAATCTCACAAGAGTTTAATCATTCATGAAAGTGCATTGCTTTAAAAAAATATCTTGATCATCCTCATGTAAAAAGGTACTTTATTTTAAAGACTCAATTTGAGCATGGAACAAATTGATGAAATTGTAGTACAAAACCTTTAATGCATTAGAATGATTACATTTGGAAATCATTATGTATACAAGTAGTTATTACAGAAATAACCTTCTTTGTCAAGTATTCTTGGCATGGAAGTAATCAGCATCCTATCCTATTAATTGTTTGAGAACTCTGAAATCTTTAATGAGGTTTTTTACAGAAGGATTTCAGTCAAATGCAAATGATTCATTGAAGCTCTTAATCATAAGACAAATAGTGATTCTTTAGTGAGTTTTTTTAATTCACTGTAATAAATGTAGCATGTTAACTGTAGACACACAGTTAACTGTTTTTCAGTTACTTTCCTCACAGCAATTTTCTTTAAAAATTCATTGCTAGTCAGAAAGTCTTAATGGTTGGACTGAGAAATAAAATGTTTGACAGATGTCAAGAAATCTGTGTCTGATATAGCTTCAAATAGATTTTTTCCCTTTGAGTGTTTTAAAAATGAATTTGTCTTGAGGTTGATAGAGACATAGATTTTTCAATTGGGCATTGACAATCAAATACCATCCTTCTTTCACAGGTCTGATTACAACAACATCAAGAAAATTGGATCGGGAGCAGCAAGCAGAACATTTTTTGGAGGTAAGAATAAGTGGAAAATATATGTTAAAAGGTTAACTGATTTTTGTAGTTTAAAATCACTTCTTTCTGTTCCAGGAGAGTGGTATTCTCCCTTCTCTTCATTTATAACAGACTCACTTAAAGCTGGGAATTGCCTGATTATACGTAAGAAATAAAACATTTTGCAATTCACAAGCACAGGGAAAAAATTGAATAAATATGCACAACACTTGTTTTCTACCTCTAGTATACTTCAGTTAAGTCTTTTATTGCCGCCCTTAAATTTTGTTTGTGACAGAAGTTCATAAAATCCAAAGCAAAATATTTTTTTGATAAAATAAGGTTGAATGACCCCAACCCTGACAAGATTTTTAGTCTCTCAGGTTAAACATGTGTAAAGTTTTGCAGCTTGGATCTAACATACAAACTAATCATTTGGATGAAAGCAAACTTTGACCTTGCATTCACTGCATCATCAGAATTAATGAATTTTTTTTAGCTTTCACTTATTGGAACTGTCAACAACAATTTTTGAGTTAAAAATTGCCCTCTAAAAAGAGTGTCTAAGCCATTCCCTTGGCTGTTGTGATGAATGTTTCTCTTTGTAAGTAGCTCACATATGTTGGATATGGAGTGATACACTTGTAAACTACTGGTTTTGCCACATGTGTTTTCTTTCATGTTTCTCTACACCATGCTGTGTTTTTTTTCCTTTGGGTAAAAAATCCTTGACTCTGTTCTTTCGTCTATTTGTGATGTAAGGAATTCTTGATTCCTGGTGGTGCAAGTGAAAAAGAACCATATTGTCCCACATAATCAATCATCACTACTATGTATTTTAGGAAGTTCTCTTCAAATCCATACAAGTTAAAAACATCTGGGCAAAATAGTTCCCAATGCAATCACTATCTGGCAGCAAAATGTAGTAAAATATACATTTGCATATTCAATTATTATTTTTATTTGCTAGAAATCCCAAATTATTTTGGGTAGTGTAGAACATGGGAGCAAAAGGTTAATTATTGCTATACAAGTTTGAGTTGTTTTTTTCTAGATAATTCACTGTAGATTCTTACACATTCCATGCTATAAAGAAATGGGGGGAAAGAAAGGGACTTTTACCTTTTTAGGATTTATTAAGTTGGAAAGTTAATAAAGTAATCATGTGGTCCAGTAACTTCAAGCTTTCCAGTTTATACTGCTAGAGAAAATCAGAAATAGAATGAAATGGACATTGATTTTGAATATACCTATTGATGAGAATTTTTAATCTGTTAGTTTCTTTTGCTCTGTGGGGAAAGACCAGGTAGTCCTGGGGAATGACAAGTTGGCCATGAGCCAGCAATGTGCCTGTGTGGCCAAGAAGACCAATAGTGTCCTGAGATGCATTAGAAAGTGTGTGACCAGCACAGCACAGGAGGTGATCCTCCCCCTCTCCTCTGGTTTGGTGAGGTCACATCTGGAGTGCTGTGTCCAGTTCTGGGCTCCCCAGTTCAAGAAAGGCAAGGAACTACTGGAGGGAGTTCAGCAGAGGGCTGCAAAGATGGTGAGGGGAGTGGAACACCTCTTTTATGAGGAAAGACTTAGGTAGCTGAGTCTGTTTAGCTTCGAGAAGAGATGAATGAGAGGGAATATTAGCAATGCTTATAAGTGCAGGTGTGAAGAGAATGGGGCCAGACTCTTTGTGGTGGTGCCCAGTGACAGGACAGGGGTCAAAAGGCACAAACTGAAACACAGGACGTTCCGTCTGAATACGAGGAAAAGCTTGTGTGAGAGTGACAGAGCACTGGATACAGGTTGCCCAGAGAGGTTATGAAGTCTCTCTCTCTGGAGACATTCTGAAACCAGTCTGGATGTGATCCTGTGCAGCCTGCTTTAGCAGGGAGATTGGACTAGATGAGCTCCAGAGGCCCCTTTTAACACCAACCATTCTGTGATTCTGTGATTCATGTGTTTGCCTCAGAGACCTCAGTGCCAAATTCACATTTTACAGAGGATTCTCATACAGATAGGGATGTACTACTATTAATAGCAAAAAGAAAAAAATGTTACTTAGAGAAATTCAGCTTTAGTCGTCAATATAAGTTAATCTATTTCTTCCTCTAAATTTTATCTTGTTTAAAAAAATAACCATCTGCAAGACTTTGAGGACTGAAGATGCAGTAGAGGGAAATTGGTGTCATAGGCTCTTCCAAGGCTTGTGAATGGGGAGTAAAGTGGAGGGCAGCCTATGGAGAAGAGAAACACCTGAGCAGGGTGTCCTGCAGAAGTGGGGATAGGACCACATTTTAAAACCCACCAGGGAACAGTGTGCGGGAAAGGTAACCAAACTCTGGCAGAGACACAGCCCCAATGGCCAAATCAACCCTTTGAGCTGCTGCTGAACACTGACCATCGCTGCCTCCTGGGAGGCACAGTCCTGCTGCACGTCCACGCATAAGCCGGGATGCAGAGCCAGGCTGGTCAAGCTGTGCTCATTCTCGTGGCAAACTGAGAAACGTTTTCTAAAATGCCTGTCTGTCTCTGTGTAATTACCCCCCTGGGGAGGTCTTAATTGCTGAGATGACTGTGGTCTCCTGGTAATACAGTGTTTCCCTTCCGGCTTCATTTCATACCCTTCTTACAGGAGTCTGGCTAATGTAAAAGAGAGCAAACTTGGCTCCCTTTGAAAAGCTCAGATTAGTACTTGACCTAGCAACCCTTGCTCCCCTTAGCCCAGTCTGTGTGTGGGGCACTAACAGACGTTTCCTAGATTGAGCTTTTTAATTATTTTTAATAAGCCTGTCTTTTCCCTACCTGAATTTAGCAGAGGTGCTATACCCTGTAAGTACCTGCCAGTACTTACTCGGCAAATTTCATTACTAACAGTATTGCCACCTCTTTCAAAGAGGTTTTTAGGAAGATGAAGTGAAATATGATGGCAGATGCTAGTCATTATAGTCTTGTGTAGTGCCAGTGCTCTCCAGATCACTGCCTGTGATGGCTTAGAGTTGCTCTTCTGGAGTTGTCTGTGTCCATATCAGAGGAAATGTGAATTACCCGTGAGGACTGGATGTGTATTTTTAAGGTTAACATGCCTAGGAAGGGTGAATCTAGAGTGACTCCCTCTGTATGTACACAAGCATTCTGTTGCAAAGTACTGAGGCCCAGGTCAGATGTGCATCTCTTCTTCCTTCCTCCTTTAATTATCTTCTTTGAATGTAAGAACTTGTGTCTGCATGGATTTTTTACTGGTACCTGAGGCTGCTGTCACAGGACTTGTACTTAGCATAGACTGTGTCTCAAAGTGAGCACAGAAACATGTCTATACCCTGAGCCAAAAGATGCATGAGGAAGTCAGAAATAGATTTCCCCTTAAAACAACTGAGATTCTCTGTTTGTTTTGGTAATATTGTTTAGGGATTTTTTTGGCATTTTGGGAGAATAAAAGAAAAATATTTCTTGTCCTAGATTTTTCATTGATTGAGACATTGTCAATGTTTTTTTTTTTAAGCTGCCAAGATGAGGGCTTAATATTTTTGACACATTTGTAATGTCTTGCGAAGCTGCAGGTTTTATTTAGTGCTTGTTATCAGGTAGAATTTTTCTGCTTAGAATTAAATTGGACGTCACTGGATTTTATACAGGATGATCTCTTGCTTTAGTGGGTTCTTATTAATGGAATGGTTCTGCCTGAAATGGGAGGAAAATGACCACTTGATTACATTACTTTCTCACACGAAGCAAGCCAAAAGCATTTGTTCTGTTTCATAGACTTTCTAAGAGATTCTGTAGTTGGGATGAAGTATTTAAATATCCATCTGAAAGATGAAAGGTAATCCTGAGAGTTACCCGATTGCTTTGCAAGTAAAGGAAAATAGCAATGTATTTCCAAGTGAGTTGCAAGTTTCAGGTGATCTGGTTTTATTCCTATTCAGTAATTGGACACATCATCTTCTTTTTCTATTCTTCTTTTACTTCCTCCTTCTTCTGGATATGTGTTGTCTTCTAATAATTTCTGTGTTAACTCTTCACTCTCTATGCTCTAGTATTATGCTAATTTACTAAAAGGTAGAAGCTAGAAGTAGACAATATTAGTACAGTTTGAGCTGTGGAAAAAAACCCACAAAAATAGTGTGTGGGGAGTAGACAATATTAGTACAGTTTGAGCTATGGAAAAAACCCCACAAAAATAGTGTGTGGGTTTTTTTTCTGCCCACATTGTTTGTAGATGCCTGCTAATCCTGGTCTGACAGCTTTGCAAATTCTAGTGATTTTGCTATGTGATTTTTTGCAAACAGCTGCTGGAGTGATGGAGGTCCAATAATAAGCATAAAAATTAAACCATTTAATGCAGGATCTGCACTCTTGTGTGGTGTCAGCTGATTTTGAGATGTCCAGAGTATGAATAGTTCCTGGTCTGTTTTCCAGTGTACATGTGCAGATTGATGGGAGAGGATTCTTGAATCCAGGCTACAGTTCACTGACTTGCACATTCATCCCAGAAAGTGGATCTGAGCACATTCTTGCTCACCCTGAGCAGTTCCTTTACATACTGTTGCAGATGCTGAGTTACTTCTGCTCCCAACACAGAAAGCCTCTGCAAAAAGTACCCACTGTTGAGGAGTTCAGCTTGCTGGGAATTGCTGGGGCAGGACATGTTTAGCAAAAGAATGACCCAGAAGAGTTACAGGCTTCAGGTTGAAATCCTAGCAACAGTCTTTGAATCTTTATGATTGAAGGGATGAATTATCTGTAGTGAGAGATGACCTCTCCATCCTCATGATAATAGTATATAATAACTTGGTGCTTTTAAAGTGCTGAGACTATTTAGTCTCTTCTTGATGAGTGCATGTGGTGCAGGCTCTTAGGTCATTTAGCCAGTTTTGAAAATTCTATCCATTGTGTCTCTCTCTTCTTCCAAACTATGTTTAAATTTACCACTGTAGATTCATTCAGAAATTACCTAACATTTGTCATGGTGGATAACCTGTCTGTTCAAAGTGTCTCTAAAGAATAGAAGTAGTTGTTAATAAGCATTT